TGGCAGACAACAGCACTCCATCACCGGCTGTTAGGTTAAACCGCGCTGGCTCGATGGAGTCCAGTTATCATCTGTTCAGATCGGAGCCAGCTGCTGCCAGAATACTGAGAGCCGAAGTCTCATTAAAAATCAATTGTCTGGGATCAGGTAGGGTTTCTGATCGCACTGAGCCGACCTGGCCTCAGGGGGCCACAGGCAATCAAGCTCAGCAAAGGTGGCTGAACAGATGCCTTCTGAATAATCAAGAAGGGTCTATTGCTAATCAACAGATTAATCTATTTAGCTCTTTAATCTTAATTTGGCCACCAACTTCCCACCAGAAATGTATAGAGTCCATTGGCTGCTGAAACTGAAAGCAGATTCCTAGCTGGTCAGTCAGTTGAGACTGATTTTTGTATGTTTTTTGTCCTAAGGACTACAATGCTTATTTCTCACTGGAAATGGAATCATCAGTTGAAAGAAATTACATTCATGAATTATTTCAACTCTTCCATCAGATGCCACTCTTATTATTTCCACCAACTGCCAACCATACACACAGGATTGTGGGAAATCAGAGGCAGTGAGCAATACATCTATGCTGCCTTCACAAAAACAATACTATAGAAACATTAAATCTGGATGTGGCCTGACGCCTGTGTTCCTACACTAATTATAAAGCAGAACACTGCTACTGAGTCTATAGCATGAAACCGAGCTGACTACGAGTTGGTTCTTTTTAGTGAATCAACGTAATCGCTGTTTATCCGATTCCCAAACAAAATACTTTTGTGAGCCGCTTCTTTTTAGTGAATCTAAAACAATCAGTGCAACTACTGTAGTCTGATTCTCAAAGGAATGACTCTTGTGAGACTGTGAATCAAAATAAAGAGTGATTTAGAATGACTAATGATTGAATCAAATCCATACAGCTTTTGTACTTGCATATATATACATGGATCAAAGATGAAAAGGGGCTTTCAAGCATCATAATAATAAAAGTTTTATATGGCTTTAAATTTTCTTTTTCCATGCTACAAAAATAATGACTACCATACATTTTTACACTGACTTGCAGAAAAAAATTGTTAAAATGTAATTCAGTGTAACAATAATTTATGTAACAAAAGATCTTGTCAGGCATATTTACAACAAGAACCATTAGATGACATTAAAAGTCTCTATTTAAGGATCACAGTGCAGCCCCAAAAACTAATTCATTGTCATTTTAAATCTTTGCCACTATCCTTTAAAACAAGCAAGAGCAAGCAAGAAGTTTTGAATAATTTAAAATATAAAATTTTGTATGATTCTTATATACATTTTTAAAAGTAAATATCAGAATAAAATGTTGTTCCATTTTTACATACAAATATGTTATGCTGAATGAGAATGGAACATTTCACCCGTATTTTTAACATTTTATTTTCACAATATATATATTTTCTATGTATATAAAATCAATTTTGTAAATTTAATTTGATGCAGACACCAAAATGGGACGTCTCGTCTTTGACCCATACACAGTAAGCATTTTGTAAGTAGCATTTAGTATATTAATATTAATTAATATTAATAATATTATTATTATAATAATATTAGCCTAATTAATGGCACATTATCACATTATTTATGTTTTATATTTTGTTTAATATATAAATTACTGCATTTATATTACTTTTATATATATATATATATATATATATATATATATATATATATATATATATATATATATATATATATATATATAATAAACAAAATATTTATCCCTTCAAAGTACTAGAAGAATTAACGGAATCAAATCCAGAACCTTTCAATTCTTTACGATTTCCATCCCTTCACTACCTGCACAGGCAGCATTTTTCAGGTTTCAGACGCTGACCATCTGCTGTGTCCACACTCTCTCTTACACAAACACACATTTACACATCACTGCATGCTTAGCAGCGAGTTGTGAAGATCTGAAGAGGGATTTTCTGTCTAGCTTGTCATAAAGCCAGTTTTATCCAAGTGCTTTGTGTTGTATGAACAAGCATTAAAAACAGTTGAATATGATGCTGTAATTTGTCTCACCCTCACTCATATGATTATAACAAACCACTGTCAATTGTGCAGCTGGAGCTTATCAATCTCCAGTGTCACGCTGTTGCTGGTGCTCAACCTGTGTTCTGTGCCTCACTGAGCAAAAGAGATTTCAATTCACCAGGCAGAGCGTCGAGCAGAGCGCTGCTGTTTGGCTCCACATGAATTATAAAACATGCAAGTACAGACCTCGAACGGATGATGAGCACTCATTTCCATACTCAGCATCTCAATTTCAAAAATGCAACCAGATTTGATACCAGAAGAGAGGTTTGTGAAGCACTGTTTATATCGAGAGTCGCTGCTGCTCATAGGCTGATATGAATTATATAATAATACATGTTTATATGTACCCACACTTAAAGGGACCTTAAAGAGATTCACTTAAAAATAAAAATTGTTTCAACAATGTAAAACCTGTCTGAGTTTTTTCTTTTTTGTGTGAAACACAAAAGGATATATTTAGCAGAATGTCCATGCTGCTTTTTTCCCACACAATGAAAGTGGATGGGGAGCAGGGACAGCAGTCATTGTCATTCATAAGAAAAGTGCAGCTTGGACATTCTATTAAATATATATTTTTCTGTTTAATGCAAAAAAGTCTAAAACTACAACAAGGTAAATACATTTTTTTTTTTTTTATTGAAAAAACCTAAAATTTTCATATATATATATGAGATGTTATCACATGAGAAATGTATATAAAAACTAAAGTTTTACATATATTTTATGATAATACCTGAAAACCTACATTATTATTATTATTATTATTAATCTTTGTTAGTTCATGTTAGATAATGCATTAACTAATGTTGACATATAAAACCCTACTGTTAGCTTATTATTAATATCATTATCATATTTAAGCAGTTGTAGCACTCTGAAACTCAATCTTTTACAGCATCACAGAAAAATGACATTACATTATACCCACACTCTAAAAAATGTTATCCTGGGTTCAGCTTGTTGGGTCATTTTATTGGGTTATTTTTTAATATTTTTTACCCAGGTGCTGGGTAGTTTTTCCGTAATTAAGTTGCTGGGTAATTATTAATGCTGGGTTATTTTTTTTCTACCTAACCGCTAAGCTGATCCTGTCTCTGACGAAACAACCCAGCTGCTGCGTTACAGTCAGATCGTGGCCTTTTTGTGTCCTCTACAGGAGAGAGCAGATCTCAGCGCCGCCGATTTGGTGCACTTCTTGAGCGAAATAAAGGTTTGTATACATTTTGTTTAATTTATAAAGTCTTTACTGTGCTGTAAATTATATTATTTTACGTAACGCAACACAAGGACGAGTCAGTCAGCAGCGGTCACTTCTCATGATGGAAACACCTTTTGCCTTGCATAACAAATGGATTTTATTCGTTATAATACTGAGTTTAATTTAATTTGATGTTATTTTCTCTAATCTCAGTACTGTTTGTTTATGGGCAGGTTATGGAGTCTTCACTTTCAGCTACGAGTGAAATGCGAGGCCGCGGTCTAAAGTTCGCAGTTCTCCCGCGAACAGCAGCCCTTCACCAGCTCAGATTTCGACGACACACCGGCACGAGAATTAGCACTATTTCGTTATGTAATAGTGTGTAAGTGAAATTGATTAGAGTGATTACATTGATTAAAAGTGATTACAGAGAATGGTTGAATACACTTAAATTAAAATGCTACTTGTAAATGTTACATTTATTATTTCTAAAATGCTTGTTAAATGAGTTTAAAATGTAATATTGTAAACTATGCTGTATTCACCCAAATAAATTTAATTTGTCTTGTATTTTGTCCATGTGTTCTTGTTTAATAATAAATGTTCATTTTTTTGATTATTGCTGTTGCCTCTAGTAATTCTGAGAGTGATTTTTTAATTTCCAGCCCAGTTTAAGGCAGCACTATAATAATTTTTAAACAATAGCTGACTTGAATAAAACGACCCAGCATGTTGGGTAAAAACATTAACCCAACCAGCTGGGTCAAAATAACCCAGCATGTGTTCTGTCCAATATTTACACAGCCCTGGGTTGCCAAATAACCCAAGTTGGGTTGTTTTTAACCCAGCATTTTTTTTTTTGAGTGTGGGAAACCACAGAATAATACAAAAGATAATAAATCATTTCTAATGCATTGTTCTTATTGGCTGCACACAACTAGTGTTGTCTGAATCTCAGATGAATGGATTCACTCAAAGGTCTTTGAATCAGTTGAACAAATTACTCGCCGAATTGTCAAAGTGGTTAGTAAATAAACAGCTGATTCACTTATAGACTGTATGTTTTCTCAAAGGCTGCCACACTCTAAAATAAAAAAGTAGACTAAATGTAGTTCATTAAACTTGTTGACTCAACACAAAAGCACAGAGGAGAGTGCCGCCACTTATTGAGATTCTGCTTATGTAATGGTATGTATGCATGTCATGCATGTCGCTGTTTGTGAAGATAATTTAGGAACGTTAAATAGCAGACACAAATGAATAATTATTTGATACGACAGAATCAAAGGGCGCTGGGGCTCCATGAGCTAAAAATGGGGATCAATACTCCACCTGTCGTGTGACAAGCCTTTTCTGAATGCTTCACACTGCTCTTGACCTTACTGTTCATTTAATGCATTAGGCAAGCACAAAGCATGACTTTCACGGTCATAAATTTACCATGTTTTAAAAGCCTGATCTTCAGAGCACTGAATTATATAATAATGTGCTGAAACCTTGGAGTGGATTGGTGTACAAAAAGACAAATAAGCCAGGTTTTATGCTAATATAGTATTCTGTCAAATTTAGGGATGAAGGATGTCCTTGAATATGTTCTGGACTATGCCAAAAGCATTTTGTCTGTCAAGGGACAAGATTTATTTTGATCTTTTGCGTCAAATTGGTATGCGCTCCTCGAGGCGGACTTTGTTTGAATACACAATTGGTCAATCTTTGTGCTGTGAGCGATTACCGTGTAATTGGGATTGCCAGGTTGTATGCGGAGTTCGGCGAGGATCCAGATCCCATTGGTAAGTTTGAGCGACTGATACAGCATGTCCTGGCCTTCTACGTTCCTCTTGGCGATGGTGTAGATGTTGTTGTTCTGCAGTTTGCCTGACACCGTATCTGCCAATACCACAGAGGCATGGTTACCCAACAAGATATTCTCAGAAGTCTCTCACTAGAGTACGGTTATCAGAAGAAAAGCTAAAATTTATCCATAAAACAACAACAACAAGAAATGGTCTAATGAGCACTTGTTATGAGTACTTCCTATGAAACAGGAAGGGACTATACTACATGGCTATAACCTGTTTGTACTATGGATGAATGCACTGAATACACTCAGAATGGATATATTTCTGCCAGTTTCTTCACAATCAGCTTATGGTTGGCAAAGAGCATTAGCACAGTATGCAAAGTATGAGCATTATTAGCACAAGTGAATGCACATAATGAACCAAAATTCACTAATCTCTACTTCCTTGTTGAAGTACATACAAAACTGTCTATTGTAATATACCTGCACATACAATTGTTGATTTATATATTTTTATTCCTTATTTACTTGTTCTATTTTTTATGTGGAAGCTTCTGTCACAAAAACAAATTCCTCGTATGTGTAAACATACCTGGCAATAAAGCTCATTCTGATTCTGATTCTATTTGAGCAGCAACATACAGAATTGTCTCGTCCTCAAAAAAGGCCATTCATCTTTCTCTTGTCATTTGGGTGGAAAAAAAGGTTTTGCCTATAATCATAAAATTATTCTAATGAATTTTGAATACTTTAAAATAAAAATACATTTTCCCAATCTAAAGTAAAAATGGAGTCACTACACACACACACATTGGCATTATCTAAAATAAAGTTTACTTGTGATTATTAATAGTGGTCGACCGATATATCGCCAAAGCCGATATATCGGCTGATATCTGCCATTTTTCAAATATCGGCATCGGCCGATAATTTTTTCTGTTTGGCCGATGTGTTCGAGGCTGGACTTTTATTTTGATGGCGCGTCTGACTTTTATTTTGACGGCGCCGAGAACGGCTGCGGCAGTGCCTGAACACACAGTGCTCACATTCTCCCTCTTGTTCGCTGTTGTCATTCAGTTCTGTCTATTGAAAAATGACAGAAAAATGAAAAATTTGGGTGACATTCTCATTACATAGGATATTTTATTGTACAAAAATTTGTCTTGACAAGTCATAAGTTATTAGTGATTAATAATAAAATAAATTTAAAAAATAATTAATACAGTTTATTGGTCCATTTCCTTGAAAGAGAAAGTCTGCACATCTTAACTTCTAATTTTTTTTTCTTTTTTGGGGGGCACACCAAAAAACAAACGAAGTAAACTTAAAATTTATAATAATAATAATAATAATAATAATAAGCAAAAACAATAACATGTTTACAAAAACCTCTTTTTACCATTAGAAGGTAATCTACTGCATGTAACCGACTGTCCTAAAACTACTTTACACATAATACTATGAAACTCCTGAGTAGGGGTCGACCGATTATCGGCCTGGCCGATTATCGACGCCGATATTAAGTATTTTTATGATTATCAGTATCGTCATTTTCAAAACCGATTTGTCGATAAAATAATTACATTTTGAAACACGCTATCTGGCTCCGATGCAGCCTGTCGGAACCGGGTGTGCCTCACACGTCCTGAAAAGTGAAGCTGTGGGCTCTTTGATCACCCCCTGGTGGCTGGCTGCAGTACATGTCATTAATCCCGCCCTCTCCATGTAAACGAATGGGACTTAAGTCAAAATTAAAAAATTTATTACGCTTCCAATACAGTTTTCCGAAAGATGGTTTTGGTCATTTAAGGTAGTTGTTATCACGCTGATATGTCAAATTGTTCGTTTTTGTGATAAGTTTGATTTTAGATAGTAATTTGATGCTATAAAAATGGGGCGTGTTGTTATGGTTGATTGAGTCTGCGTTTTGGAGTTTGGGCGGGAGTTTGATTTGTTGGGAGTCACAAGTCCGACCAATCAGCGTGGAAGGTTAAAGGCACTGAAAGTTTTGCACTCACAATGAAAGCATATGCTAACTGGAGCTGCTTCAGCGCATCAGTTGTCTCTCTAAGGCAGCAGCAGACGTTGCTGAAGTTGCAATAAATCACAAAAGGTGTTTTGCACTGAAGTTGCAAAACACCTCAATATTATCTATTTATGGTTTCCGTGATGGGGAAAACGCAGACGGAATCTCGGAATCCAGTCATATAAATGGAATTTACTGTATAATGCAGAATGTCACAGAATTTGTCAAAGTTTGGATGAAGTAATGAAAAGTAGGTCAGTACACTTAAATCGACTTGTACTTTGGACTAGTATCTGTAAATATTAAGCCGCAAAAAGACTATTTAAATATGAATCCTGCATGTTCTGTGTGTCTCGGTATATGTGAATGGCACAGACGTGCGGTTTTGTTTACTACACACATACTGAAGTACGTGACGCTCGCAGTGTTTTCAGCATCTGCCGTCTCACTAAATGAGGACATAAATACATGAACAACATCCCCAGAACTGCTCTGGGAGTTACTTCATGAGCACTTGACCATTTCATTTGAGTAAAACTATCGTCATGTCATATATACATAGGCTACAGAAACTTAAAAGGTCCTCATGGCAACCCGTCAAAATAAAAGATCGGTTTAGCTACTACTACTACTACAATTATTACAACATTTGTTTAAAAGAATAATCACACAATACGCTATTTCTTCCATGTTTTAATTTTAATAGTAAACCCCTTTGTTTGCCAAAAATAGAGTTTAACTCTCATTTGATTAAAAGATGAATGAAATGAAATTCAAATGAAATTAATGTTTTATGACTTCATTTGCACTGCACTGTAAATAAAACTAATGAAAATTACGGTCACGTAGGCTAAGATTAGGATGACAAAAATTTTGACATTTCAATAGGCTTTTGAACCAAGTTTGCCTAAAATAGGCTATTAGTGTTATAGTTTCATTAAAATAGTCGCGGTCTTCTTAACAACTTCTACATTGGAGCTAGGAAGACAATTAAATTGGTTACACTTATTACATACATTGTGCTTTTTTTAAGTTAATCAATTGATGTGCATTAGATGATGAATCAAACAGTCACCTCTTGTAGGTTATGATTTAGGCATCAGAAAAGAACCAATGAAGAATTATGAGAGGTTATGCTATTACACATACATTTCTAACATGTAAATTATTAAAGCCAAATACTTACATTTCCCCAAGCTGTTTAGCTGTAGTACAGTATTCATAGGCTTAATCATGAAGCATACAGTGGCCCCACTTTTAACTCTCTCTTTATATTACCCTTATTGTAGATGGATGCACGGAAGAAGACAAGAGTAAGAAGTACAACCAACACCAGTGAAGGGAGTTTTTGTCAGAACCCTTGTTATTCTTAATTTTGACATTAATTTAAATTTTTACACCAGCCATATATATCGGTTATCGGTAGGGATGCACCGATACCGATACTGGTATCGGTATCGGGCCCGATACTGGCCTCCTGTACTCGTACTCGTTAAAATGCCCCGATACCAAACGTCGATACCACACAGCATGTGATAAGCTCCATATACAAACAAAGAAACACTGACAACAGACAGCAGAAAGGAGTTAAGGATGTCTACTACGAAGTATACGTATGCAATGAATATAAATGTTAAATATTCAGTATTAACGCCTGTATAGCTGATGTGAGCGAGCTAATAAACAAAGCACGCTGAGTGGATTGAGCCAGATGTGCGAGCTTGTCGAGTGAATATTCCTTTCTCACAGACATCATTGGAAAGTTTGTAGTTCGGTCTGATATGTCAAAAACAAGTAAGTAAAACAATGCACAAGTTATTTAACGGTAGGGAGAGAGAGAGAGAGAGAGAGCGAGAGAGAGAGCGTAATTCTGTTGTGTGATCTTTGATGTTCGCTCACTTAGCACACGCATCATTTGAATTACAACAAAATCGTAAAAGTAAAACCATTCATAGGGGCATTCACTATAAACATCATTTATTTTCAACCTTAGGCATACACGACTTTCTAGCGAAAGTGAATCTAGCAGCCTGTGTGAAATGCGCTAGGCTGTACTACTGTCCTCTCATTCTGCATCAGTACAAACACGTGCAGGCGTTGCGTGTGTTTTGCTTGCTTGAGTGTTTGTTGCAGGCTTTGGAATATAAATCGCAGCACGTTTCAGATGAAAAAACGCGACTTCTATTTCTGAAAATATCACAGTTAGGAGATTTATAACGAGTGGTTCCCTGCATTATTACAGCAAAGCGCGTGATTACAGTACTAAGCCGCTGCATAATGCTATTATATTAAAGATGATGTACCATAGAGCAAAAAAATGAACAGTGAAAGTAACAAAAACTTGTAAAATAAGTTTTAATGGGCATAATTAAGTGTGAAAATAACCGAAGGATATACAGTGAAACCAAAAATGATTCAGAGACCAGATTTAATTTTTGATATTTTTTTTTACTAGTGGGTGCAGGACACTATAGTTCATTTATGTAAGTGAGGAT